ATGATCCAGTTGCCCTTTACCAAAAAAAGCAACTGCGAGATCTCATTTATGCAGATTGAAAGCACCAAGTTTTGATGGTCTGATATGCTTGTTTTGTTGTTCATTTGTTTGTTCTCTGGAAAAAAGAACTTCTTTGTGCTTTAACAGAAAATGTGGAAACTTTGGAACTTTTGACTTCGAAGTTCGAAAACAAAGTTTATCTGACTTTACAGCGTGTTCGGAAACCAAATTTACCTTTGCTTTCGAGTAAATGAACATTTATTGATAATTCAGCTAGATGCGCTGGTTTTACACATTTTCAAGAGATACGTTGACATTTAATGTTCTAAAAAACGCCATTGTGAAGTGAACAGGTCAACAAACCAAAGAGAGGAGCACAATTGTACCTATTATATCTACGTGCAAGAACGCATAACTACTAGAACTTTGAAAACAGGTGCAAGGAATAGCTACTGCTAATATCCAATAAAACTGTATGAGCAATTATTATCAAGGTTTAGATTTTTTGTAGGAAGTTAACTGACACTACTTCATTTGATAGAAAGCAATAGTGTGTTGTTACAAACTTCTTTCAATCACCTTTCTACCAAATTTACCACACTCCAAACTAGTGATAAGAGGTAAGCTAAAGTTGTGTTGGAATATTTAATAAAAGGAAACGTTTAGCTTCCACACTCTTGCTTTGAGCTAGGGATCAGTCCTTCTTACAGACATAAAGGATGTTCCCCTCGAAGTAAGGCGTTGGAATCAATGTGACGTTGTTGAAGCCTGCTTCTCTCAGCATCCTCATTGCTCGCTCTTTACCCCACATTGAACCAAGTGCGAGAGCATCTTAAACGGCTAGTTTTGTCACTAATGCATTCTGTAGTGATAAATTGCAAAGGCTGTAGGAAAATTGGGGACGCAGAGAAACCTTTTGAGTTACTGCCGAGCGGTAGACAGTTGAACATAGAACCAGCATATCTCATCGCAGCAAACTGTCCCATTTCTTCCTTATCCTTGTAGATATTCGACGTCCCATAAATCTGCAATTACAGTGTGAAGTTAAAATATAACTTCTTCAAAACAAACGCACCTCTACCATTCCGAATATTCCTGAGGGTTTGAGAACGCGGAAGACCTCCTTCAGACACTAAAGTACACTTCATTTATCAGCACTGTCAAATGTTAGAAAATGGCAGTGTTGGTCTAAAACTCCTAACAAAATATTCAAAATTGAGTAATTTGTAGTAATCACTTAGGTTTTAGCTCTAGAGAGTTCGCAGTTTCACTACTTTATTTCCCAGTAGTTTCACTCTCCCGTACTACAAGTAGTACTTTCAAGAATACCTTGGACGGTGCAGTTCTAACTCGAGTCTTCACTCTCTCTGAGCGAGCTTTCAAAATACTTGATAGCAATTCTAATTTTTTGTTTCTCTGTGTACTAGGAAGCACAGATAAAAATGGATAACTGGTGCAACTTATACTGAAGATAATATCTTTCTAAAGGTATATAAGAGATATGTTTGAACAGTTCAACTCGAACTTGTAATGGTTTTTGGGGTTAACAGTAGGTAAGCCCAAAAGCGCAAATGTCCGCATATCCTCACGGACCTGCACATTATCTACCTCGTCATCTCCTCCTTTATTTGTTGCAAATCATTTCTATTCAGAAATGAGTTACACTAGTCCTTCTAAGGACCAATACTGAGTAAAACTTAGTTTTAGCTATTATAATATTTGAGGCAGGTATTCATTCCCCTCAAATGCTTTTCTATCTCAGCTATAAGGGAATTTTCAATCAAACATCCATTTAAAACAAGTGTATATCGGAATAACATTTGGTGTAGCGATCTCAAAACCGTTTTTCATATTTTCTGGAAGAAGTTGGGGGTATCTGTTTCCTGGAGATCACTTCAAAAAAAAGAACATCCCTGTAAGCGAGTAAAGGGGCGAAATGGTGTCTTGTCTTGCGAATTTGCGATACAGGTGCAGATCCTGTTGTCGGGCAAATTTCCTGTTTTTTGCAAGCATATGTATTTGCTGTAAAAAGCTTACAAATATACATAGCTCGTCGATTTATCTTCCAAAAACTCAGAGGCGAAATCAGTGCTTAAATGTAGGGAAAAAAATACATTATGATTATAGATGATATATGGAGGTAGGCATCTATAAGGTGAAGTTATTGAGCGCATCGAGAAAGTGCCCTTCGCCGCAATTTGTTGGGTTGCATCTTATGAGAAGCTCTCTGCCTCCAGCATCTACATGCAGTTTGGCGCTCTTCTTTGCAAAAATTTTCTCTCATATTCTTGGTATGCAGCGGGTTACCCAGACGTGAACGCAGGCCCTTTGCAAACCCTTGCTCATTTCTGCCTTTCTCCTGATCTCATAAGATGTTGCAAAACAAACAAATGCAACAAAATGTACTTTCTTCGATGCGTTTGTCGTGAGCAACTGTAGTGTAAACTTTACACATGCCTACCTCTGTATATCACATGTAGCCATAGCACAAGTTTGCCATCTGCATGAAATTGACTTTGGCTTGAAGATTTTGGACAGTAAATCAACGAGCTAATTCTATTGACATTAGAGATAGCTAGACCCAAGTTGTTATTGCACTTCTTTTTCTGATTAGCCGCTCATGTAGAAAGCACTCCCTTGTGTATCCCATTTCTGTGTTTCTATAACATTTTCAGACAAAAAGATAATTCGCTGTCCACTTCAACAATATCATTATGACTGAGAATAAAACAGGTAATTCAAACAACTCACCAAATCAGCTCTCATTTGAGGATGACAAGCATCAAAGATAGTTACCAAGTCGAATTTCCCCGTCCAATCGGCATCCAGCTTTGAACCATCCATTTGAAGAAAAGTCAAATTATTGTAAGGCGCGCCATCACTTCTCCTGGAAAAATGGATTTGTAAGTGCAAAACCTGCTTTACAATTAGTCATTTACTACCGCTGCTGTTTTGCTAGAATAATTGCTCTTTCTGCAATGTCAATTCCTGTGAAATTTGATTTCGGGTAGTTTTCAGCTAAACAAATGTTATATTTCATGTCTTTATTGTGTGATATAGTAGAAAACCAAACCTAAAAGAGTACAGTGAAACCCTTTGCCACATCCAATATCCAGACACGTCATTCCATCTTGTTCTAGGCGCTCCTGAACAGAAAATGCTGGCGCCGATGACCAAGTTATGGTTTGAAAAGAATTGATGCTTGTCATGCACAGCAAGAAATTTTTGGAACATATTTGCTGTGCGCTGAATTTTATATCTCCTTATGTTGCTTTTCCATATTCAGAGAAACCATTCTGCTATTTCGAGCACAGACTTTGACCCCGCTAAGTTCTGGCAGCTGTTATCGTTGCCTAATTTACTATGTACCTCTCTTTTCCTTGAAGCTCATCCCCACAACTTGCGATGCTCTTAAAGCAAGTCATAGTTCATATAGAATAGGCATTTCTTGCAAGAACTTAAAAATTGGATAACGGCGCGAGCAGTAGTCGAAATGGAGCAGGTATAATTTTCCTGAAAGTTTCCGCATAAAGACCGGCGTTCAGCATTCGACGCTCCCTCTGCTACTCTTCACCACAGTTTTAGACGCAGCGACGGATGTCTCAAGCAACAACCAATCAGGTTGGTGCGGTTTGAAGCTCAACACGGAGATGAAAGAATATATGGAAGTAGGAGCTCGTACTCAAGAAACCATATATCTAAGTGTAGGAAGTCGCTTCTCCTACGAAGACTTCAAGATGAGATATCGGCGAGAACAAATGCAGTCTTGATGAAATGGAAAATTCTCACAAGAGTTTTATGTGATAAGCGAATGCCAGTGCAACTTGAATCCCTGATATGCCTACTGTGATCCGTCAAACAGCGCTGTATGGCTGCGAATGTTAGCCAAGTACATGAAGTGAAGAACACAAGCTTAGTGTCATGGAGACAAGAATACTGCGGTGGACATTAGCTATCACCTTGCTAGATTATGTCTGTAATAACACAGTTCGAGCTAGAGTGAGAATTGCTTCCATCGCCAAGAAGATTCAAAAAGGACGACTGCGATGGTATGACATGTAGGTGATAGGGTGAGACCCACATCATAAGAAAGGCAATGTCTCAGAAGGTTGCTGGATAGACCACGAGGAAGGCAGAAATGAAGTGGATGGACAGTATCTGAGTCAACTTCGGAGAGCTAAGTTTTAATGCAAATATTCATATATAATAATATAGAAGTTCTCAAAGCTTTCAGACATTAGTTCCTAAGCTCTTCAGAACGAGAGAATGCATTATGATTAGAATAACACAAAACTGCTTACGTAAAATGTGTGCTTGCCTTAACGTTAGATCCAAGAGCAGGAATGAAATCTGAAATAAGATGCTTCTTATGCATTGCCGCACTGACTCTTGCCATGATCTCATCAATCTCCGTCGAACAGTCTGCGTGCTCAAGACCTGCAAATTCCATGAGTATGCGTATGGAGGGCACGCACAGAGCTTACCTAAGGGCCCGTCCTTCCTAAATATTTCGCAAATTTTGTCGTACGGCTTTAGGAAGCTTGACAGAAGAGAATGCATTAACACGTTCAAGCCACCGGTCAAGTCCTAAATTCGACA